GATTCTCAAGTGTCTTCATCAACAAAAGTTCTTTCTCATCTTGATTAACCGACACCGGTACTTCAAGGTCTTGCTTTGTTGTCACAGCAGAGACACGAAAGTCACACACGCGAAAGCGCTTCTTGGTCTTCGCAAAAGTTACGCTGGCCATTCTCTGCACCTTGCTTGTCCCAACAGGCAAAGTCTCCGACGTACGCTTTGTCGGAGAAGAAGCAGACGCCTCCTCAAGTCGAGGCCGTGTAGCCGCAGGTTGCGGCAAAGCTGCTTCCGTTGCGGACCGTGGTAGGCCCTGTGCTTGCTGGTCCAAAGTGACGTGCGGTGGCTCAAAGGTGTCAAGGTCAGGAGGCGTAGCCAAAGACTCCAAGTCCGACAAGTCGTCTCTTGGCGGTACCGCCTCTGGCTCATCACCGCCAAAGTCGTCACCAAGCAAGTCTTCAACTTCTTGCAAAGCTTCTGGTGCAAGTGGCTCAGTCGACTCGTGTTGCTCAAAGTTCGAAAGGTCTGCTGCTGTCGCCTCCTCGGACCGCTTGGCTTGAGGAAAGACAAAAGTGTCCGTCTCAGCCTTCGAACATGGGGTCCCAAGGACGCGCAGAGATCGACTGCAAAAGTGCAAGGTCGGCTTGCCGGGAGGGCGGGTGGCGCTTGACACTGCGGGTCTTAAAGACGCCGGTGGCGTCAGCAACAAAGTGCTGATCAGACTCAGTGTCCTTGCCAAGCCAAACACCAGGCACAAAAGCTGCACGGCCCTTCTGCGGATGCGGCTTGCGGAAAAGTACTGTCTCTCCAAAGCGACAGATAAAGCCGGCATACTTCTTACGCCAGCGCCGCTCAAAAGCCGTCGTTCCTTCCGCGTTGCAAAGGTAACGGTTCACAAGCCACTGCGCGTGACGCACAAGCCAAGTAAACAAAGCCGAGTGCACCGAAAGGTCCACGTCAAAGCGCTCAAGGATGTCAAGGCGCAAAGCTTTGATCTGGCCGTACAAAGTGGCCTGCATGTTACCGACGCTGCCTTGCGCTTGTTTCCAACCGACGGGCGTCTTCCGAAAGGAAAGTCCACCAACCTCACCAGTGACAGAAGTTGCAATAGCGAGGAGGGCGGGTTCGGGGTCCGCTTGCAACACACCGAAAGTTCTGCCCGTTTCAAGCACAAAGCGACGAAGTTCAGCCTGTGAATAAGGTGTGCGGGCCTTGGTGGGGATCACAACAGAAAGTGCCATGCCGGAGAGAACATCGACAACATTCAAAATCGTGATCTGTTCCTCACCAGGCTTGTCGCCAAGAAAGCTAAAGTCCATCTGCAGCACAGGCTGCTTCAGGGAAAGTCTGCGACTCTTAGCCTGTTTGCTCTTGGAACGCACACAAATTTCACACCAGGGCTTAAACGGCAAGTGTGTCAACTCGTGTTCAAGCCGCTCCGTCAAAGTTGGCTCGCCAGGCTGTTTAAGCCCGCGAGGGCGACGCGCAACATAGTCAGGAGCTTCTGGCTCGCACTCAACAAGTTGCAAGTCTGCCTTCTCAAAGCAAGTGGCGCCGACAAACGGAGAGCTGATCAAAGTGGCGCCGCGCTTGCGCCAATGGTCAGCATGCCAAAAGGGCACTTCCTCCGTGTTTGGCCTCACAACCAAAGTCATGCGGCCGTCGCCAAGCTGCTCTTCAAAGTGCGGATCCTCAGGCACAAAAAGTGTGGTCCGCTGTTCGTAGTGGACACGCACCCAGCAAGACGGAAAGTCAAGCCACAAGTCGTGCGTGTACGGCTGGCCTGTTGCCGGGTCCTTCTCCAAAAGTTGTTCAAGCAAAGCCTTCCGAAAGTCTTCCAGCGTTCCTGAAGAAGTCTGCTCAAGGCGCAGACGGAAAGTGTCCTCGGTGCTTTGCTCCTTGAGGCCTTTAGTGGGTTGCTTGAAAAGTGGTTGTGGGGCCTCTGCTAAAGGTTCCTGCTGCTGTTCAAGTGGTTGTGGTTTGCGTGCAGGTGTGGGTTCAGGTAAAGTTGTCTGTTTTCCAACTAGCTTGCGGCCAGTGGGCTTGGAGGAAAGTTTAAAAACAGTCTTGCCAACAAAGCGTTCAGGAGCAGGCCCTTTTGGGTTCTCCGCTTTACGCCAGTTGTCGGTGAAAGTCTCTTTTCTGCCATCTGCGTACTCAAAGTAGGTTACGCGTTCGTCCGAAAGGTCCTTCAGGTCTACAGGGCGATCTTTCGTCCCTTCGGGAGAAAAGAAAGTAGCTCTCGCTCTTTTGTGTATGCGGGTCAAAGTGTTACCCGAGAGCTCCCATTTATCAATGTGATACTGAACAACAGGTCTAAAGACGGGGGCCACTATGGTACCTTGTGCGCTCTGTGTGTGAAAAGTGTTACACACAACCTCAAACTCTTCTCGGTTGAAAGGTGCCAAAGTGGGCCTCAAGAAAAGAAGTGAACCATGCCTAGTGATGGGCACCTTGTGTCCATCAGGTGTTTCCAAAGTGTTCGCCTTCTTAGAAGAAAGGTTCACGTCAAAGCCTGACCTCAAAAGTCTGCCAACTGACACCACACAGTAGGGAACGTCGCAAACGTAGAAGTGTAGGAAACAGGGCTGGCCCTCAAAGTCAACCTTCACAAGTCTCCTTCCAAAGACCGTCAAAGGCTGACCCGAAATGCTCCTCAAAGGTGGAGCTTTCCCTGTGAGTGGCAAAAGTGGCCACTCCGAGGCAAAGTCCTTCGGGCAACAGTGAGTTGCAGCACCTGAATCAAAGAGGATCCACGGCTCGGTGTCCTCCAAAGTCGAAGCAATCAAATGCTCCTCCAAAGCAATATCCTTGAAAGTCGTATTCAAATTCTTAAGATCAAGATCCCCAACACTGAAAAGTCGTTGGTTCTCCTCCGTGCGACCATTCAAGGAGAAAGTCTCAAGCGGTGCCATACAGGCCGTAGGCTCAAAGTTCTCACACTCTCCGAAACCACCAAAGCTGAAGTCTACAACTCCATTCGTCATCCCATCAACTCTGAAAGTGTTCCCCAAACCAAAGTTGCCGAGAACAACAGCCGACATGAGCAAAGTGCTCGGGCTGATGCTTGCTTTAGCTTTAGGCTTGGCTTTGGGGGTTGAAAGTCCAGGTGGTCCTTGCAAAGTCACAGCCGACACGGGCAAAGTTGCCGCGCCGCTTGACGAGGAAGCCTCTTCCTTAGGCTTCGCCAAAGTTTCGGCCTTCGCCGAAGGAGCAGCCTCTGAAGGCCAAACTTCTGAAGTAAAGTCCGAAGACCAACCCCAAGGGTCAACATCCCAGGACCAAGCATCCAAAGACCAAAGTTGATCATCCCAAGTCTGATCCCAACTGTTAGGGTCGTTGTAAAGTTCCGTGACCGCGTTCACGGCCCATTCGGTCCAATCTGTCCAATCATCGGACTCACCAAAGTGATTCCAATCTCCTGCGTCCTCCGACGGGTAAAGTTCTTCACCTTCAACAGCTGAAACACGGTTCAAAGGACAGTTGCTCGAAAAGTGACCTGTTTTACCACACGTCCAGCAAACTGAAGTAGAACCAGAAGTGGGCTTTCCTTTTCCTTTTCCTCTTCCTTTTCCTTTCATCATAAAGTTCCAATGTTGTCCTCCTTTTCCAAACGACTTCGAAAAGTCCTTTCCTTTTCCTTTTCCTTTTCCTTTTCCTTTTCCTTTTCCTTTCTTTCCTTTTCCTTTTCCTTTTCCTTTTCCTTTCCACAAAGCTGCCGCTAAGGCACCAATGTCCATGGGAGCCGAGGCTCCACCAGCAAAAGTTGCATTCGCCGAAGTTTGTGCAACTGGATTCATCAAAAGTCGTGACCTATGGTACTCAAGGATAACTTCTCGAACCTGAGCATAAGTTGCCAAAGTTTGGGCATTCAACCTAAGGTGTTGTTGTAAAGCTCCAGAGGTTTTGTTCAGCAAAGTTGCAACAAGAACACCATCAGGCAAAGGTTGTCCTACTTGTCGTTCATATCTACTCTTGATTGTCTCCCAAACATTAAAGTCCTGCTCAAAGGTTGCTGGGTTGAACTTAAAGTCCAACAGCTGCGTCAAAAGTGACGTACTCCGCGTGGCTCCTGGCAGCGAGAACTTCTTGTAAAGTCTCCTCCATGTCTCAAAGCCGTTGCTGTCCTCGTTCTGACGAACAACAAGTTTCGCCGAATCTTTCACAAGTTGAGAAATCAGGTAATGTAGCTTTCGGGAGAAAAGTACTCGGTTGGCGGTCTGTTCCGGATCAACATCACCTGTGCCCAAAGTGACTGTTAGATCAGCATCTGTAAAGTCACCCTGCGCTGCCGTTCGCATTTCGGCATTGTCCATCAAAGTCACAGCACCTACCTCGAACATCGAAATGTACGCTTTAAAGTTCCATGACCATTCTTCCCAGTCTGCTGGGTTCCCAGAGAAAGTCTCTGGCAGAGGAAGCCGAAGCTTCCCTGTAAAGTTGTCTTCACCTCCTAGCGCCATGTTGTTCTACCAAAGTTCCGTGGAGCTTTCAGCTCCGCTACCATGCGAAAGTACACTAGTCCAGAATGCGCACCAAACTACCCTAAAGTAATTCCGTGCACAAGCTCACACGACTTAGACCAAAGTAACCCTGAAGTTCAGCAGCGCCTTTTCTCGTAGGGCAAAGTGGTCTTGAGCCAACGACGGTTGGCAAAGTCTGGGGGAGAAAGGGAGGTGTTATTTTCACATACACATATACACGCACATACATACATACATACATACATACATACAATATACACACCCACTCCCGCCCCGCGAAACCCACGTGCCCACCTTGTTGTGTTTCGCACCACGAGTGTCTGCACGCAAATTTGTCTGGAGTACAGCATATCTTGCACGCCTGGTTTCTGGAGGGCTTACCATATTCACATGCACACAGAGATATGTATGTCTGTATGTGTGTATGTGTATTACCCCCAGTGCCTAGAGCAGCGGAGTGGATCGTAGCATGAGCCTTTCACGACAACCACTCTGGTTTCACGCAAGTTTCTGGCTCGAGCCCTCCAGCTCGAGCCCACGATGCCGGGTCCGTGGATCAGTGCGGCCACGGACCCCGATGGTTGGGACTCCATCGCCCTCACGGAGGGCGACTACGTCGAATTCCAGGCCTACGACTCCAGCCACTGCCGCCAAGGGAATGTGCTCGCTCGCATAGATAAGCTGAGTGACCGAACCAAGGACGGCCTGTGGGCCGAGGCAACTTTTGTTGCCGTGAGCGACGAGCACCTCCAGTGGTGGCTGGACAAGGGCGACGGCCGGAACGACGCTTGGCAATTCGAAATTCACTTTTGTCGGAGCTCACAGCGAGCGTGCCGCCAGAGCCGACGAGGACGGGGTCGGGATTTCCACACAGACAGGTTCCGTCTCCTGACCTACGGCGACTTGACTGGAAAGAAGGTTGATTGGCTCAAGACGAGCCCTTCGAAGAAATATGTGGAGGAAGAGCTGCAGAGGCTCGCCAATCTCCCCACGGGGAAGGACAAGGGTGGCAATGGTGCAGCTGGAGCCGGGCTGGGGTTCGGCGAGGCTCTTCTTCCTCAGCCAGATCCCTCGGAGGGGGACGAGGCCCTGAAGGGGCTAGCGGACCTTGAGAAAGAAATTGGTCAGGGAAAGCCTGGCCGAAGGAAGGGGGCAGAAAAGTGTAAGGGCTTACCCCCCAAGGGGGAGGCTGCCGACAGAGAGGACACCGAGGTCAAGAAGAAGAAGAAGAAAAAGAGGAAGAGAGACGAGGCCGCTGCCGCCCAAGGGCGAGCTCAGAGCGCTCCAGCCCGAGCCGGCAGAGGAGAATGGTTTGGGCAGCCAGCCCGGGATCCAGAGGAGATCAAGAGCAGCAGTTCGGTAACGAGCCGAAGCACCACGTCAGATGACAAGAAGAAGAAAAAGAAGAAGAAGAAGAAGAAGGCGAAGACCAAGACCGCCAAAGACAGAGGCCCTTTTGGAGTTGGGGCCAAGTTGGACTATGGCACTGTCAGCCCTGAGTCTGGTGAGTCTTCCGATGACAGCCAGCTTTTTCGGGAGGGCCCCTCGTCCGGAGGAACCAGCCTGCAGCTTCAACTGCAGGAGTACGCCCTGAAGCGTCCGGGGCGCCTGGCTTCCAGACTTCTGCAAAAGATGCAGGTGATGGTCGCGAAGGAGGGGGGGCCGATGACAACCGCCGCACGCGGCAGCAGGACACCGCCGGTCGCAACAAACTGGATGCTCACGCTGATGATGACAAAGCAGCCGGTGATGAGGCTGGCCCGCGAGATGCGCACTCTGGCCATGGCCCTCGACGAGATCGCAGCAGGACGCTACCAGTACGCGGCCGACGTCATAGCCCAGCGCCTGAAGGCGCTGGAGCTCTTTCAGAACGACGGGTCGTGGAACCGCGCCCAGTATCTGGAGCTCCTGGATGCGGAGGGGCCGAGCCTGCTGGGGCGAGACGAGGCGGTGATGGCCTCCAAGGAATGGGCAGGAGAGTTAAGGATGAGGAAGCTTCAGTCGAAAGGGGGCGGCAAGGCAGAGCAGCGAGGAGACCCGAAGGGCCCGGACAAGGGGGATCCAAAAGGAGGGAAGGATTCCAAGAAAGGGAAACCGGGCAAGGGCAAGGGGGCCGCCCCCACGAGTGAAACCGGAGCTGCCGGCCACGGCCGAGGCAAAGGCTGAGGCCGGTGAGGAGCAAGAGCGAGCCACAGCCTTTTTGGGACCCCTTGCCGAGCTGGGAAACTTTGCCAGGGAGTACGCCAATCCGATACACCCTGGGCTTGTGGTCGAAGGGCTGGAGGGCATCACGACTGCAAACCTCCACTGGGTCCGCTTCATTGTATTGTGCCTCGACTTTGTCTACTGCGCCGGCTGGTCCAGGCCAGTCTGTGTCCCGATGGGTGCCACACTCTACCAGAACCAGAAGGTGGCCATCAAGAGGGTGGCTTCCCAGGTGGACCGCCTGATTGCACGTTCTGAGCGGCTGTTGTCAAGCAGCCAGGCTCTCAAGAAGCTGCGGTCGAAAACCTTTGACTACAACGGCCACCCGGTTGACCATATGCAGGACCTAAGCTTCTCAAAGGTCATCAAGGCATGGCCCCGGCAAGGAACGGCTGCTGTGGTGGACTTGAAGGACTGCCTCCCCGAGGAGCTCCAGGAGGCGCTCGACCACCCGGAGGATTACCTTCTTCCTGAGGCCGAGCTTCCCGAGCGGCATAGGGGGTCTCGGGTGCGCGCATCTGAAGAGGAATGGTTTAAGATTGTGAAGTCCGGTTACGACCGAGGAATGTTCGTGGCAGTGAGCGATTCTGATGTTCCCGTTGATAAGCGGGGGCACCTCATCACAAATGGTGCCGGGGGCGTGGCAAAGGTGAAGCATGAAGGTGGGCAGGTGATTGAGGCACAGCGCTTCATTTCGATCCTCTGCCCTACCAATGACTCCATGCGCCTTTTGCCGGGCGCTCAGGATCAGCTGCCCTACATCGGGCAGCTCACGGCAATCTTGGCCGATAAGGACTCTTATTTGGTCCTGGATTCGGAGGACCTCCAGTCGGCGTTCAATCTCTTCCGGATGCCGCTCCAATGGGCACCCTTCTTCAGTTTCGCCCAAAAGGTCCGGGGAGACGCTCTTGGAGGGTCGCGGCATGAAAAACTGCGACCTGCCCTCCGTGTCGTGCCAATGGGGTGGACCTCGGCTGTTACTCTGGTCCAGGCCGCCATACGGCACATCGCATACAAGATTGCGAAGATTCCTCCCCACGGGGATGTAACCATGGACCAGGCTTTGCCCTTGAGCTCCTCGATGACCGTCCTCTACCTTGACAACTTTGATGAAATCCGTCACCTGAAGAAAGAGATAGCGGTAGAGGAGTCGGGGCAGCCCTCGCCAAACCATGTGAAGTTTATCGAGGCTTGCGAGGCCCTTGGCTTGCCACGGAATCAGGCGAAGCAGCTCTCAGGAGCTCTCAGCGGAACCCTCCAAGGAGGAGAGATATTGGGAAGAGAAAAGATCATCCGGCATGCATATGAGAGGACGGTGGAGCTTATCAGCTTGGGCCTCGCCTTGCTCTCCCAACAGACTCTGCCGGAACACGGTCTGAGGCACTGGGCCGGGAAGGCAGCCTTCGCTGCGGCGTTTCGGCGCCCCCTGTACTCGGTGCTGCAGGAGGTCTATGGTGCGCTGGAAGTGCCACGGGGCGGGGCGGACCTCACACTCCCCCTGCCGGTCATCGACGAGGTGATGCTTTTCACCGGGCTTCTCCCGCTGGCGGAGACCGACCTTTCGTCTGAGCTCTCAGGGGAGATAAGCTGCACCGATGCGTCGCCGACCGGGGGCGGAAGTTCCGTGGCAACTTCCTTCAAGGATAAGGCCCTTATCCTGCCCGACCCGGTCGAGGACCTCAACTTTTGCGGCAACTGCCACAAGGAGCTCTCCGAACCTGTGGAATGTGCTCCCTTCGGTGTGCGAGAGCCCACCAAGAGACGTGCTCAAGGAAGTGGTGGCACTCCCCTAGTTTTGGCGAGAGGTTTTCCGGAAAGGGCTACCCGATGTCAAAGGCCATGGGGCTGAAGGGCATCGCGACGTAAACCCCCCTCGACTACGACGTCCCAGGCGACCAATGGGACTTCAGGACCGATGAGGGGAAGGAGCGCCTGGAGGAGGCCGAGCTCGATGGCGATCTCATGTGGTCCCATTGGTCACCAACAAGGGTGAGCTTCTCTAAGTGGAGAGGACAGGGCCATTGGGATCACAACGGACGTTGGGATTATGGCCTCCCTCGCCTTCGGGACCGAGAACATCCAGAGGGCCTTCCCAGGTTACGTCAGCATGAGAATGTCACCGTGAGGCAGGCCAATGCGATTGCGAAGCGGGCCCTAAGAGGCCTTGTTGAGGCCAAGCGCCGTGGGCGTTTCGCCTCGTTGGAGCATCCCTACGATTCCTTTTTGTGGGACCTGCCCGAGGCCAGAGCTCTCTACGGAGAAGGTTGGCACTGGAGTGTGTTTTCGTGCTGCTGCTTTGGTGGCACAAAGGAAAGATGGCTGGGAATGCTGCACAATTCGGCATCGGTCCATGCCGTCCTCAACCAGCCAACGTGCACCTGTGTTCAAAAGCGACCCCAAGTCGGGTTTGAAGAGGACGAGGGTGAAGACGAGGAGTACCCCTGGCACCTGTGTCTCACCATGGCAGAAGGAGCTCGTCTGTACACAGAGCCTTTTGGGGCTCGCCCCCTCTCGCTGGATGGTCTCATCAAGCATCAGCTGCAGGGGGCCACTCGAGGCTTGCAGCAGCAAGCTGCAGTGGACTGGGCAGTCCACCAGTGCCTCACCTTCCTCGAGACCATGGACACAGGCCAGGAAAAGGAGCACCTCGCGTGGCTGCTTCGCCACACCTACCACACAGGCTGCGACGTCAGGTTGACAGACAGGGGAGGGGACGTGACTGGGAACCGCCCCGGGCCGTACCCGGCCTTCCGATGGCACTGGCGAGACGTCCTGTCATACCGCTGGAAAGAAGAGCAGCACATCAACGTGCTGGAGATGACGGCTTTCCTCACAGAGCTGAGGCGAAGGGCGCGCAATGCAGATGAGCTTGGGAAGAGGTTCTTCTGCATCATCGACTCCCGCGTCTCCTTCTACGTGCTGGGAAAGGGAAGGTCGTCTTCGAAAAGATTGAACAGAGTGAGCCGCCGCATTGCCAGTGTTTCGTTGATGTCTGGTTTGATCCCCGTGAGCCTGTGGACCATCAGCAAATGAAATTTTTCCGATGGTGCGTCAAGGAAATACGAGCCGAAATGATCATCTTCGGTTCCTGGGGATCACTGCAAAAACCAGACGCTCTTACGAAACGGCTGTGGCGGCCTTCTTTGCTTATGTTCGCGCCCTACGGGGCAGGCTTCCTGCGACCATGCAGGCTCTTGATGATGAGTTGTCAGAATACATAAATCATCTTTATCAAGAGGGAGACACGCTGACTCAAGCGGGATGGACGGTGAGCGGCTTGAAACGCTTCTACCCCCGCTGCCGGCCACATCTCCTCACCTCACAGGTGTTTCTTCGAAATTGGCAAAGAGTGCATCTTCCCAAACGCACTACGCCAATGACCTGGCTCGGGGCAAAAGCCATGGCGGCAGCGGCGCTTCAGGTTGGCCGCCCCGATCTGTCGTTGATCATCTTTTTGGGGTTCGCTTTCTTTCTTCGCACTATGGAGGTCCTTGCCCTGCAGTCTTCTCATGTGAGACTTTTTCCTGAAGATGGAACGGTGATCATTGCCATCGTCTCCTCGAAAACTTCCCGGGGGCTTCAACAATCTTTGTCCCTTCGGGAACCCGGCCTGGTCGCGGTTCTCCAATTTCTCTTTGACCGGGCACGCCCGAGTGGTCCCCTGTACCAATTTTCAGTGGCCGCCTTTAGGCGGGAATTTTCTTCTTTGGTGAAGGCCATTGGCCTTGAGCCTTCCGAATACCTTCCCTATTCCCTCAGGAGAGGGGGTGCCATTGAATTCTATCAGCGCACTCAAAGCCTTGGTCGCACTATGGTGCAGGGAAGATGGAAGGACTCTCAAACAGCTCGTATCTACATCGACGATGCGAGAGCCACATTGGTGCGCCTTCTTTTGCCCCCGCCCACCACTGCCCGTCAGACTTCTTTGGCTTCTCTATGGCGGGTGGCTACGCCAGCAGGCTGACCCTCTTGGGACAGTTGGCTTGGGATGTTGGCGCGGGGAGACTTATGTTGTAGCTGGGGCCCCTCCTACGGGAGAGATCGACCTACGGGTCAGGTCCATGGCGCTGTACCTTAGCCTTTTTCGGGCGGCATACGACCGCCCGCGCCAACTTTGATTACCTCCAGCTCCTCCGGAAAAGGAGTGTCCTAGTCGTGAATACCCCCAGTGCCTTGAGCAGCGGAGTGGATCGTAGCACGAGCCTTTCACGACAACCACTCTGGTTTCACGCAAGTTTCTGGCTCGCCACCGCCGCCCCACCGCCACGACTTATGTTGTAGCTGGGGCCCCTCCTACGGGAGAGATCGACCTACGGGTCAGGTCCATGGCGCTGTACCTTAGCCTTTTTCGGGCGGCATACGACCGCCCGCGCCAACTTTGATTACCTCCAGCTCCTCCGGAAAAGGAGTGTCCTAGTCGTGAAAATATATATATATATATATATATATATATATATATGTATGCTCATGCCCCTCCCCATGATCCATACCACACTTGCTTTGTTTAAGCAGTGGATCATGCGAGGTGGGCAACTTCAGATGCGAAAACACCGCCAGGCTCGAAAATCCCTAAAATTCCTGAAGCCTGAAGTGCGAAAACATTGGCAGGGATCGAAAATCCCCAAAATCACCAAAACCTGAGAGACTATAGCCCAGCACTCCGCGTGGATGCCAGTATTTTGGTGATGTTAGATCCCTGCCAGCGTTTTCGCATTTCCGGCTTTACAAGTTTTGGGGATTTTCGAGCCTGGCAGCATCTCGTCAACTCCGGATGCTACAACACTGCCAGGCTCGAAAATCACCCAAATTTGCAAACCCTAAACACTCATGGCCCATAGATGTTTTTGGGAATGTTGGTGATGTTCGTTCCCTGCCAATGATTTCGCATTTCCGGCGGTACAAAATTTGGTGATGTTCGAGCCTGGCGGCATTTTAGCTAAGCAAGATGAGAAATATAATTATGGTCAGTACAGTAATCGTAAAAGTCATAGTCAAATCAGTCGTACTAGTGGAAGCAGTTTTGCTGATATTAGTTCTGATTCTTGGTGTGTATTCTGATAGATCCTGGAGTGTGTATGTGCCACGTACAAATCAGCTATGTCGGTTATGTTGGTGTATGAGGGAACGTTGGGGCACGTTCCGCATTCCATGTTCTAATGAGCTGTGTCTGTGCTGAGATCCTGCAAAACATTTTTTATGCAAACACTTTCCAGACCTTCGTCCAACCTTCCAGCTTATTAGGTACTGTCGAGGTCTTATTTCTTCATTTATTCATATATCCCCTCCAGGTGCCTGAACACTAATGAAGGACTTCTCGCACTTCATAATCAGAAACTAATGATATGATACCTTTGATGGTTGATGTGAAGGAGCTCTTTTATGTCTTCTCAAGGCAGGGACGAGTTTGTCTAGTTTTGTTTTCAACATTGAAATACAGAGGGTCTTTATGTTGTAAGCCGGCATTAGAGCAGATAAGCTCCTTGATGACACGTCGCAAGACAGAATAGCTGTGCTTGTTTCTTGAGTATGACATACATGAGTAACCAGTTACTTCAGTTGCTAATTCTACTAATGTGCCATCTGTGAACAGAGTAACAATTCAGTTAAGATCAATTCTGCTCAAAACGCCAATAAGTTGGTTGAAGATTGTTCTCTGAGAAACAGAAGCGGTTCCACCTGTGCTACGAGGATGTGAAGAGAGAAAGGGTGTTACTTCTTGTTGTGAGCTGTATTATTTATTGCTAGTAGACCGGAGCCCCATTATGGTAACCGTGCAATGGGGCCCCATTATGTTTCGAACCAGAAGTTCTCTTGCATCTTAGTAAGAGAACAGCGAGTGTGCTGAAGGTATGATGTTGTAATAATTTCCCCTGAAGCATAAAGAGATGTGGCGATTGCTTCCACATCTCTTATGAAGAGCAAATGTCCTCTAGAGACAGGTCTTCATGTTGTATTGCAGGAAGCAGCAGCTTTATCAATTATTGCTAGTAGTAAGTAGTACCCTGCTGCACAGCGATATTGAGTTCTGAAGTTGGAGTTGTTCTGCATCTTACTAAGAGACAACCGCCAATTTATTTAAACCACGAAGTTGCATTAATGCCCCTGAAGCATAAACAGACGAGGAGGTTCTTTCCACATGCCTTATGAGACGCGAACAAGACCTTGTTCTTTGTGTCTTTCACCGAAATGGGGTTCTGCTATCTCTCAAGATAGGAAGGAATGGCAAGAGAAGAGCAACCGTCTCTCTTCGAGATGTAACCCAATGAATTCATGACATAGTGGAATTGTGATAGAAAAGAAACGTCTTGTTTAGTCATTGGTTGGCCACTGATAAAGATGTTACCCTACAACAGAAGAGAGCTTCTCCTTCTTTCTTGAGAGAGCAACACGCATTTTCTAGAAGCATTTGAGTTTTTCTTAGATGAAGGGAGGATGGTTTTCTGCACCATCGCGAAACAACCGGTAGACACACAACGCATAGTCGAAAACAGTATCCGTTTTGGGATTCAGGTGGTGTTAACGTGCTACGAATCTATCAAACATGTAGCGACAAGCACAGGTGAAGTTCAGAAACCACTGCAAATGCCGATGGTTTCTATGTTTGCCCGCCAAAAGACAGAAACAGAAGATCATGGAACATGAGTCGACAAGAAGGCTGGTATGGATCATGGGGGGGGGGGGGGGTGTATATATATATATATAATATATATATAGTATATATATATATATATATATATATATATATATATATGTGCAGCTTTGCCGCGTTCAGGAACGTGAAGGGGATTTGAAGGAACTCCGTTCAGGAAGAAAGCGCGGAGTGGAGGTGTTTTGAGGGTGATTCTTCAGGAATTCATGTTTGTGTATATCTTCCAGATATGGGCTATTTCATACTTGTCTAGGAGACAGTTAGCTACATGCATGTTCCGGGCCCACCAAAATGCATTTGGGCATAGTTTTGGTCGCATTTCCAGGGTTGTGTGTATCTTTTAGGTATTGCTGCTGTTTCGTACCTTTTCTAGGAAACAGATATCCGAATGCCTTTACCAGGGCTACCAAAACGCAATTGGGCTCGGTGTGGGTCGCATTTCCAGGTTGGTGTATGTCTTCTAGACATGGCCGCAATTTATTACGTCTTCTAGCGATAATTGAAGTCCCTCGAAGGAGAAGCTCTCGCAGCTGGAGATGGCCTTTGCCAGGACTCGTGAGCTTGGTGCTTGGGACCTTTGCCTTTCGCCAGCCTCCAGGGCCTAGGGCCTCAGGGAGGGTCAGGCCCGGATGGAAGTTGAGAGAGGCCAATGTCTAGCGCTGCAGGATCGAGGAGGCCAAGCCGGTTAGCATCGATGAGACCGTCATCGTGGCTTGCCCGCAAAGTTTGCAAGACCTGTCCCTGCAGCCACCGACAAGGAAGCAAGGTACTTTCAAACGACACATGGGCAGAAATGGTATCAATTCGCTGAACGCATGTCTCGGGCCTCATTCGTTCGCAGCTATCCCGTGAGTTTACGAAGCCTGAGTCAGAGCCCGCTATTGGGACCCAATCACCTTTGCTGGTGCCCATCGCTGTCCCTCCAATCCCGAGGGCACGTGCGCAACAGCGACATAACCGACTCCACTCACCCAGTATGTAGAAAGAAACCGAGCAAACAGGAGAGCAACAGAGTCAAGTCGGTCGCCAGCACGCTTGGATCAAGACTGCATGCCGCAGAAGGTAGCCAGCCTACTTCAGCATGTCATATCCGTTAGCTGGCCCATCTCTTAGCTGGCCCAAAAAGTTTGAAGTTCGCGCTCAAGGCCTCCTTTGCGGGCTTGTCCGCGTTTGACTTCGACTTCCCCACCCTTGTCGGTCAGTTTGTCGACCAACAGCTTCAGAACTTGCTCAGCGGAAGCATGCGAAACACACCTGCACTTTGCCCTTTTGGAAAGCTTTCTTGACCCGGCACACATGGATTGCACTTGCGTATGCTTGGCAAAACTGGCGAATGCTCTGCGTATTCTCTTCTCCCAAGCCCATGTCTTCACCGACTAGCAACGCCAGCATACTTATCCATGCATAACAGTGCTGTTGCTCTTGCGGTGTATCTCCGCCTGCCTGCTGTCGCTTGTGATGCTCTTGCGTTGCATCCGTGGCTGCTTTGACGATCGGATCATCATGATTCATCAATGACAACCGTGGTAAGCACTGCAGCTTGAAGTTCTCTCTTTTCCACCGCGTGTTTCAGCGACAGCTTTGCCACAACTTGCATCCCCTTCATCTCGGATCCTCCGGCTTGGTTTTTACTGGCCTGCTCATTTCCAGCACCTCCACGCCTTGTTGGAGAGGTTCAAAGAAACCAGTGCCATGCAGCTAAACTGGCGATTAGATGACCGCCTGATGTGCTTCAGGGTTTGGAAGCTGCACATGTGTAACAACATGAGCAAGCAAGGAATCCAGAGTAGTACATACCTCGCCACATGTCGGACATCTGAGTTCCCTCGGCACTGCAACCTTGTACAAGACACTGCTACCAGCACCTGTGCACCGCCCAACTCGCAATGTGCGTCGAATGTGCTCCTTAGCGGATGCCTTCGACTTGTAAATGTGTCTACACCATGGAGACATGCTAGACACTGCGACGCATGCAACTGGAGATGATGTGCCATGCGTGCCGCCTCGCGTGCATGCCTTGTGAAGTGCCAGAGCGCCGTTTGAGGTACAAGTTTGTCTACACACATGCCGGTCCGCCTGCGTGCAGTCACATACATACTCCCTTGCAGCCGCTTCCATCTCTTGCACATCATCCCCCACATTGTCTGTTGGCAAGTCAAGGCGGCTAAATCCCAAAAAGGGGGATTCATTTTTGGTAGGAAAGTACCTTGGCCAGAAAATCTTCGCGAAACTCAGTGAATACGAGTGCGATGCGATCGCCCACATGCTCCAACAACTGTTGCCCTGCATCAATTGGCTCCAAACCCATGATATCA